GAGCACACCTATAATCCCAGTAATTTGGGAGGCTGTGGCAGGAGGATCACAAGTTCAAAGCCAGCGTCAGCAATTTAGTGTGATGCTGTCTCTAAGTAAAATATATAAAAAGGACTGGGGATATGGCTCAGTGGTTAAGTGCCCCTGAGTTCAATCCCTGCTACCAAAACAAAAACAAAACAAACAAAAAAAGCCAATTTTTWAAAAAGATACTCTTTAAAGTACATCCTCATACAAGACTAGTATTTGGCCAGTAAGTGAAAGGACCCTGTTCAAATAATAAAATACTTACATGCTGCCACTCTGGCCCTTCCCTATAAAACCCCAGAATATCTGTGATCTCCAGTTTAAGGGTCAGTCTCTGGTGCAGAGATTGGCACAGGCTACCTAATAGGCCAGGATTTGTGCTTTATTTGGGTGATATTTAGCTATTCCTAACCATCACTTTTTAAACTTTATCTCTAATATTATCTTAATGTTTGTTTTCCCTTCCTCTGTGTGTGTGTGTGTGTGTGTGTGTGTGTGTGTGTGTGTGTCTTTCTCCTTCCCCCTCTCCCTCTTTCCTCTTTTTTTCCCTTCTCTTTTGGCAGGGATCTTGCTGCCTTTGACAAGTCCCGTGATCAAGCCATCCATACCTACCAGGAACACAAAGCAAGCATGCATCCTGTGACTGCAATGCTGGTGGGGAAGGATTTGAAAGTGGATTAAGGACCTGCCTTTTACTGATTTCCAAAATTTCCTTTTTTAAAATTGAATTCATGAAGAAATATAAAACTTCAGCTCATGTCATTAATAAAAATGTCTTTTTATTTGTGGTATTTTATTRTTTTGTCTTTGACTTTGTAAATTTTCTACCTTTTTAAAAAATAGTGGTATATTCTTTATAAATTTTAATGAGTTTTAATCTGTTAATTTACATGGTGTAAATGTTTGAATTAGCTTCATTATCAGTTTTTTCTTCCTCCACATTTTTTACTGGTGCATTCTAGTTGTCCACARTATTGGGATTCATTGTTACAATTTGCACACAATGTAACAATATATTGTTATTAGTTTTCTAACTATGATCACAAAATATGCCAAAATATTATATACCTGATGTTTGATCAAAGTTCTTCAATTTAAATCTGCCTTAAASCAAAAATTCAGCATGATGAGAGTTTTGCTTTTAAAATAATCTTAAACGTGGACACTCACCACCCACCTGGTGCACATTGATAGCATGAACTCCCTTCCAAAACTGTAAACTCTAGCAGGAGCCTCAGCTCTCCAGTCCTGGGTTCATCTGGCTGATCTGGGAGACTTGTCTCCCTTCTTAAGGGATCAGATGGGCACCCTGAGCATCAGTACCTCCATCAGTCTCTCARGTAGCCTCCTGATAGTCATTTAATGTGCCTCATGTGTGGCCAGCTGGTGTTCTTCACATAGAACATGMRGAATATAGAAACATACTTAAAACAWCAAACTTGAACCATATTTAAGACTGGAATAACAGCACCCTTGTGAATGCAGTGCARTGTCCCAAGCACCTTGGCACACAATTTAGGAACCACAGCTGTATTGGTTAGGATTCTTTGACAGCAAGTAATGACAACCCAATTGACTGGAAGTCACAAGGGAAGAGAGAGATTACTTAATGAGACAAGATAGAGGTTACCAGAACCCAAGGACAGGAGACGGTAGCCCATCACTACTCCTGACTCATCCATTTTTCTGGTGCACAATGTACAGWCTGGATGGCCCCCGGCTCTGCTGTTTCAAAAGATTCCTTCCACATGGAGAGACCATCTCAATTCCAAATTCCCAGACATGAGACTGACCCAGATTGGGTCAACCCTGGCCACATAAACTCTAGCCAAGCAGAAAACTGTCTTATGATGGGGGTGTGACATCACCAGACTAAAGGGCTCAGACAGTGACTAGTCTTAAAATAGGAGTGAACAGGGAAGATGAGGTATTAAAATGGCAAGTTYCTGTCCCTCCTGGAATCCTCCGCCATCTCCCTTGCTCCACTTGCCCTAGTAATGCTGTCCTTTGGGACATAGACCTTTACTGGTCTGTTTCTCAAGGCTCTCTTCTCTCTTGACTTTGCCAGGAATACCAGAGCAGAAAGGTCAGTTCAAGTCCCTAATATATAATCACATTCTGAGTACTTAGACTTGAACAAATTCATGCACTTAAATAATGCTTTTTAAATATATATATTTTAGTGGTCAATGGACCTTCATTTTATTTAGATGTGGTGCTGAGGATCGAACCCAGTGCCTCACACATGCTAGGCAAACGCTCCACCACTGAGCTACCACCCAAGCACCCCCCCCCAAAATAATGCATTTTAAAGTTTCTTTTGCCATATGAGCTTAAAAGAAATGGTACTAAGCTAGTACCATTTTTCAAAAATCCCTTGGGATGCTTGAAAGATGGGGTGGAAAAGTGCTATGAAGAAGGTAGAGGGCGCTAAAGACAAACCCATCTACATACAGGTTTCCCTGGAGTTCACACTGACACTTCAGCTAACATGTTGAGTGTCTTTGTGCCAGGTCTGATACACACACATGATTACGGGATGAACAAAGATAAGTAATTTCTATAGATTGCTAAAGGTTGGGGTGGGAAACCTGGGGCGCCATGCTGTACACTGTAATTCCAGCTATTGGAGAGACTGAGGATAGGAGGATCCCAAGTTCAATGCCAGCTGGGCAACTTAGTGAGACCCTGACTCCAAAAGGGATAGGGACATAGTTCAATGGTAGCACGCTTGCCTAGAAATCTAGCATGCATAGATTTCCCCAGTATTGTGCAAAAAGTTGGACAGGAGGAGATATGCTAAAGCAGCCTAGAAAGGGGTTGCTTCACCAGCCCAGCCAAGGAAGGGTTTAGGAAATACTGCCCWGGAGAAGAAAAGACCTGAACTAAGACTTCAGGAAAAAGACATAGCTACCAAGCAGAAAAGTTGGGAAGTGTTGGAGGGAGGGTAACAGGATTAAATGGCTCAGGAATGTAGAGGGCCTGACTTAAATCACTGAGAGCTGGTGTCATCTTGGAATTACTCAAAAGCTGAGCTCAGCCGGGCCTGTCAGCTGGAGTACCCAGGAGTTTGGGTTTTCTTCCAGCATGGGGGTAGTTGGACATCTTATTGGTCTAAGTCTGTATGCATCACCAAACACTGTCACGAAGGAAGGGTGTAGTTATCTATATTTTGTTCCTAGCACCTCCCATAGAACGTAATACATAACAGGTGTTCAAGAAATATTTGTTGCATGAATGAATGAATGGAGGCTGGCAGAGTAAAGATGGTTCATACCTGAGGACATTCCGTTTTCTYAGAGATGTAGATGTTAGGCTTTCCCCTGAGAGTTAGGTGAATRGAAATTCTTAGGGGAGGGGAAGCAGGGCAAAGGACAGTACTAGGAATCTGCAGGATCTCAGGACTTCTGTAGTGAAATCTTCTACCTGGGTAAACAGAGGTGGCAATTTGTTTTGATGACCCAGGGCATAGGTTGAGGGGTGCAAAGGACCTTGAAAATTTTTAAGAGTGATTCAAGTGGGGGAGTGGAGGGAAGAAGGGACCAACCAGAGGTCAGGGTCAAGGTAAAAGAAGGTTAAAGTAGGAGTAAGGGGGAATTGGAAGGTTAGAAGGTTGAGTCAAAAGGTGGATTACTGGAATTTAAGATGACTTATGTGAGTCAAATGCAGGCAATGACAAATTCCAGGCCACACTCAGGAGGTGAGTACTGAAGGACAAGTTTCAATTACTTTCAGGAAGTTGTCCAAGAAAGAGACTGTGGGTGTGGGTATGGGTGTTTGTGTTTGTGGGAAGTGGCTGTGTCTCTGTCCAAAGAGTCTGTGGTGGAAACAYACTTTTCAGAATTTAATCTTGCAGTAACCAAATCTCTATTAACTTGCTCTTTACTGAAGTGCTACTTAGTTAAAATAGTGTACACAGTTTTTAATTCCTTCATACTGTCAGAATTCTTTATGCTAGGGATAAATGAATTATGTATTGGGAGCAATTACAGTGGTGAAGAAACTTGATTGATTTGAGATACCCACCTACGGAGACTAAATATTGACAAAGCATCAAAAGTATTATGCATGTAGAAGATAGTGATCACAAACATTTCCATAGCATTCCCAATACCCAGAGGCTATCCTACGGGCTTTACATGCATGAACTRGCATTATCCTCCCAATGGCCCTTTGAGAGAAGCACTTTCATGATTACCAGTTTACAGTGAGGAAACTGAAGGTAAAACAGCTCAGATATCCAGAACCAGGATTTGTTCCTAGCTAGCTACTGCAAATTCTGCAGTGAGGAGATAGTCCCTTTGCCTTTGAAAAGGAGACAAAGGCTAATACCTCACTGGCTCTGGGCTAATAAGTCATAGATTGCCAGGCCATGGCGGTCCATTTGTCTAGGTGATGACCTTTACTTGTGAAAATGATCTCTGGCCTTTGCAGTCTTTTTTTTTTTTTTTTTTTTTTTGTGGAGCAAGAGCTTCAGAAGCGCTTACCAGTGACAAGGAGTCATTACTCAATATGTGTTTGTGGAATAAACAAATGAATGAAGATTGCCACACTCCCGGGTGTCACAATTGGCCAGTAGGATGCATTTTGCGGTTGAGTAATTCCAGATAAAGACAGGAACATAGTGTTTATAAGCTGCCCCCCAGTGTAGGAGAATGTATGAAAACAAGGGGAAAGGGAGAAACYGGGGACCCCGACCAGAGGGGACTAGTAGAAGGTGCCTGAAATCACCAGGGCGGGAGACCCTGGGCCTGTCTGTCCACAGGGCTGGCTCGCAGAAGGACAGGGTCTCAGCTGCCTACATCCCCACTTCCTGCACCTAGCTCAGTTTCAAAAATCCAAAGGGACACCTGGAGCCCTCAATAAATATTTGTCCAATTCATGAATGAGTAAAGGCGAGGGAGGGGGTGTGTTCTGAAAGCCCATCCTGGTCCTCCCGTCCTCCAGGCCAACCACACCCCAGCAGTCACAGCTGGATAAAAACTCTCCCTCCCAAGACTATCTCCCGGGAAGAAAGAGCTCTCGTTGCAGCGGCCTCACTGGGCCACGGGACTGCAGGAGCGGAGCAATGCCCAGGTACACGGTGCATGTGCGAGGGGAATGGCTGGCGGTGCCCTGCACCGACCCACAGCTCACAGTGGGCTGGCTAGGCCGTGAGGCCGTGCGACGCTACGTGAAGAACAAGCCAGACAATGGTGGCTTTGCCTCCGTGGACGCTGTGCGCTTCCTTGTGCGCCGGTGCAAGGGCCTGGGCCTGCTGGACAATGAGGATCTGCTGGAGGTGGCCCTGGAGGACAATGAGTTTGTGGAAGTGGGTGAGTGGCCTCAGGGGAGGGGAACAAGCTGGTGGCCATAGAGCTGGACTTTGTCCTTACAGGGCCTAGAAGGAGGCTCTACTGTCACCCCCATTTCAGGGGAAATGATGAGAACAGGAGCACTTGTTGAGTGTTTGCTCTGGGTGGGCATCTGCCATGCCTCTGTGCGAGAGGTCAGTCAGCTTCTTGTCCACCTTGGAGCCAGTAAGTCCGTCAGCTATTCGTGCTGCATTCAGGCAGCTGGTAAGTGACAAAGCCTAAACTTGAACTCAAGACGGAAGGCCTGAATCCCTTTGCAGTTACCAAATCATTTCAAAGGTTCTTTTGCCCTTGGATAGACTTCAGCAGGCTGGATCCTGGGAGCACAGAGGCATCAGAAGTTCAGATTTTAAAGGCAGCAYGGTCAGGAGACGGGAAGGAGGTGGCAGGCAGATCTTGCACTTTCAATGTAAACACCTGGGGCTCTATCTCTGCTCTTTGCTCTCCTGTGTAAAGACGCTAAGACCACTTGAAAGCCTTGGAAGTTGTTTTAAAGCAGCCGTTTCTATAGAATCCAAGGACAACCCATAGGCCTTTCTTGGTTTAGCAGCAGCCCAAACATGGCTGTAAACTGTGGGCCATAAGGGCTCTATTTTGCTTGTCGTTTCAGTCATAGAAGGCGATGCAATGTCCCCTGACTTCATTCCCTCTCAGCCGGAAGGAGTTTACCTGTATCCTTTCCTGCAGGATCTTTGCTTAGCTCTGGGGACCACTGGGACATAGTGGGGCCGGGGCTTTTCCATGCTGTCCAATCTTTTCCTTTACCTGGCTTCAGATACAGCAAATACCGGGAGCCTGAAAAGGTAAGCTGCAAACCACTTTCCTTTAGGGCTTTCCCCAGCTTTCTGTAATAGGGAAAGGGAGCTTGGGAAATGCATTACTATGCTTTTGCATTTCAAACCCTCCTTTCCTGGGCTTTTTTTTTTTTTTTTTTTTTTCTTTTGAAGTACTGGGGATTGAACCCAGGATCTCCACATGCTGGGCATTGAGCTACATCCCCACCCCTTTTTATCTTATTTTGAAACAGAGTCTGGCTAAGTTACCCAGGCTGGCCTCAAACTTGCGATCCTCCTGCCTCAGCCTCTGGAGTAGCTGGATTATAGGCATGCTCCACCAYCTGGCCTCCAGCCTCCTCTTAAGCCAGCTGCTTTTAAAGTTAGAACATGGATGTTTTGCCGCAGTAATAAGATCTCTGGAGTGTCAAAGTTCCATCCTGCTGGAGGCTTCTTGTGAGAGTGATTAAGCTGTTCATCCTCACTGAGATTCCCTCTTTTTCAGTACATTGACTTAGATGGGGACAGTCTGACCACAGAGGATCTGGTCAACTTGGGAAAGGGACACTACAAAATAAAGGTATGGGGGAGGGAGGGAAGGACCTCCTTTGGCCGTTTCCAATGAAGTTTTGATGCAGACACCTTCAAGGTGCTCAGTTATGACCAAYGTTTTCCTAGCTCACTCCAATTGCTGAAAAGAAGGTACAGGAATCCAGGGAAGTCATAGACAGCATCATAAAGGAAAAAACAGGTATGGATTTCTCTTTATGTTATGAAATTCTTTTTATTGTCAAGAAAACTTCCAGCGTCTAATTGCATAATATCTGTTTGTTTTTTTTTTTTATTCTAGTTGTTTATGGCATTACTACAGGTTTTGGGAAATTTGCCAGAACTGTCATACCTGTCAATAAGCTACAGTAAGTTTGAAACTCACCTGCGCTCACCTTTCAAACACCCCTATCTTTGAAATTATTTTTCATCTAAGAAACTCACTGATGTTGGCCCCAATTTACAGATGAGCAGGGTGATGCTTGGGTTAAACTGCATTATTAGTTGGTAGTGACATCCGAGGATGTCACTCTTCTTGCCTTCATTTTCCCAACTGGGGGCACGTTTTCACCTGGAGCAAGTTAAGAGAGTTTTTAACTTTCTTTTCCAGGGAGCTTCAGGTCAACTTGGTTCGTTCCCACTCTTCAGGTAAATTACCCAGAGCATGGGGTGCCTCCAAGTTCTTGTTTGCTTCATGAATAAAATATAGCACGGTGTGAGTCTTTTCGTAACAGCCGTGAACAGTTGTGTTCCCAGTGCATTCCAAGGACAAGGTGCTGGGGTGGAGGAAGGAAAAGAGATGGCATCAGATCAGATTGTCTTTAGGCTGAACCTCAGAAAAAGGAATGAGCCGGGTGGAGGAGGAGGTTGGGCCTCAACCCTTCGGAGACGGTGGTGCGTTCAGGAGAAGTGGGAACTCAGGGAATGAGTTAGGATGGGTGAGATGAGATGACAAAAATCTCTCAAAACTCGGTACTCATGAAACTGAGCCAGAGTTTGTGCTGAGGAATCTCAACACTGTATGTGTGTGGGGGGGGTGGCAGTGGGGTGCTGGGTGACACTATTCTAAAGGTTTTGGGGAGGCTGGGGTTCACTGAGGCATTCTAGGGAGAGAAATTGAAAAGGCAAATCTAAGGCTTTATCTTTGTCTGAAGCTGAGGCTTCAAGAAGCAAGACAGACAGCAGAAAGAGCCAACCAGCCAGCTACAGAGAGCAAGGGGAGGCTGGGATGAGGAGGGAAAAGATTGGAGAGATGGAGGCAGCTGAGAGGTAGAAAAGGGTTTGGTTTCCTTGGGGAAAATGTCAATTCTGTTTTTGTAGGTGTTGGGAAACCGCTCAGTCCTGAGAGGTGCCGGATGCTCCTGGCTTTAAGGATTAATGTCTTAGCCAAAGGATACAGTGGCATTTCCCTGGAGACCCTCAAACAAGTTATTGAAGCCTTTAATGGTAAGAGATGAAGCCCCCGACCAACCTTCCAGAGAGGCTAGGCATGGCTCACAAAGTGGACTTGATTGACTGAACGCTGCTGGGTCCGCTAAGAAGACAAAAATCGGTTTGGCAAGAAGGAGGAAGGATGGGGCTAGGGGAGCAGAAGGAGTGACAGTTATTCCTGTGAACTTTAACCCACCCAATAGCACCCTTCACTTAGCACTTGGCATCTTGAAGACTAGAATGAGCCTCTTAAGTCTGCCCTTAAATTCAGGGACTAGACAGAACCTTCAACTAGGCTGTTCCTTAAGCCCTAGCTGTGCTTGAAGAATTGACTTTCCTTTTGCCCTAAGACGATGCCACACTCAGTTTGGGGTGGGGGTGGTCTTCCCTGGCAAGGCCGGGATAACCACAAGGAAGGAAGGGCCCTTTAAGCCGCTGATGGCCACCTCTCTTGCAGCCTCCTGCCTTTCCTACGTTCCAGAGAAAGGCACTGTTGGTGCCAGTGGAGACCTCGCCCCGCTCTCTCATCTGGCTCTTGGGCTAATTGGAGAAGGGAAGATGTGGTCTCCAAAGAGCGGCTGGGCTGATGCTAAATATGTAAGACTTTTACAACAACTTCTCTAAGCTGGATGCCGAGTGCTCTCCAGGACCTTCTGTCACTTGATCCTTCGGACAGCCCAGTGAGGGAGTCACTGCTGTGCTTATGTTAAAGATGAGATAAGCCAAGCTTAGAAGTCAAACTAGTCGAGGCCGTTAGCTTCCCTTCCCAACTGTCAGCCTCCTGGGTTTGGGGATCACCTCCATGAAAAGGTAGAGCTGTCAGTGTTAACTRGGAATTGATTCTGCACCCATGATACTTCTAGTGGCCTTTGGGAAGGTCACATACTGTCCCAGTTGTCTTTAGGAACTAGATTTACTAATGCAGGACAGTGGGCCAGAGCACTGACTGTGTGGCCTCCTTCAAACTCCCTCCCTGGTGGCTAATCAGAAAAGTGTGTTTTCAATAAATCCATGTTTCCTCATCCATCAATAAATTTCATCAGCCCAAAGTGTCCTTTACTGGGAGGTCCCCTAACAGTAAGTGAAAGAGACGGAGGGTCAAGGAGGGGGAAGAAGTTAAGGGACTAGATCCTCATGTCGGGGTTCAGATTCTAGATCATCTTTCTTCTATGCAGCCCCCTCTTGACTGTGGACAGAGTTTCCCCTTCTACCTTCACACCAGTCATCCTGGCCTTTCTAAACAGCAAATCCAAGAATGTTCTGGTTAAAACCTGTCATGCTTCCCATTATCCTCAGGATAAAGTCTAGACTTAATGTGGCTTCCSGGGTCTTGTTCCTCCTGTGATCCTCTAATCCCTCCTTTCCAGGGTTCTTCCTTACAGACTCTAGAGGTTGCTTGCAGCTGGAGTGTGCTGGGTACTTGGCAGAGCCCAGCACAGTATCAGGCCTCCCCATCTGCCTCACTCCTATTTCTCCTTCTGAGAAGTCCTCTAGGAATCTTCTCTCTCTGCTCCTCTGGTCCCTTTCCTTATCCTTCMCATCCCTCGTGCCCACCCTCTATGCGTTCCTAGCAGCTCACTGATTACACCCTAGTGTACCCTGCACACTTCCTACATCTCCAAGGACTCCACATACCATTATCTGATTGCCCCTGAGCTTGTCTCCATCTTTCTACCCTCAGCCCCAGCCTAAGCCAGAGAAGAGAATGTGGCATGAGATAGGTGCTCAAATCTTCCTGTGAAATGGACCTAGTTAAGTAGTACTAGCATTATCTTTCTCTACTTCTTCTTCCTTCTTTCCTAAAGGGACCATATTTAGTGACTGTCTTTACTATTTTTGTTTGTTTGTTTCAGGAGAAGGCTATTCTTCCTCTTTCCTCCAAGATTCTGTCTCTATCTGGTAGAGGGGATTCCATTATCCCCTCTTCATGGATGCACACACATTTACCACCCAAGCCCTGTGCTGGGGTTCTGCCAGGGTTTAGAGAAAGGAGAGATGAGAGGTCCAGATTGGAGGCAGGGACAGGCTTACATGCATACAGGACCCACCCAGCCTTAGCCTAGAGCAGGTATGTCTAGAGCCAGCAATAATAAAAGTGAGTCAAAGGTGTAAACTGAACACAAAGATCTTAGAAACCAAAATTCATTCTGTAGATGACAAGAGTCCCTGATTAAAGTAGAAAAATTATTTGAAAGACCAGTCTGTCTTCAGACTAAAGAACAGGAGTAGAGAATATGAGCAGAGCCAGTTCCTGTAGGTCTACTCTTTTATAAGATGCTCTGCCAAGTACCCTCTTTGGCCTTAAAGACCTTTTATTGGATTCCATATGAAATCAGAAATGGGCTGGTGTTTCATTTGATAATCATTTTCATACTTTGGATCAATCTATAGGTCCTGGAAGCTCACGGATTGAAACCAATTGTTCTGAAACCAAAAGAGGTAATGAGACTCAAGGAAAATTTGTTTGCATTAACGAGTGTTCCTGTACCTACCATCTCCAGTGTACAGCCAGTCTCACTAATTATCTAAATCAAAAGTGACTTACATGTTTGTTAGAAGTTGCTCACTGAAGAAAGAGCCTCTCCCTGTGTGAGCATTTGAGATTCTTCATGCCACAAATGCTTGGGTGGATCTCCTAAACTTTAAATCTAGTTCTCTAAGGATTCCTAAGACATGCTCTCAGCCCTGGTCCCTTAGGATGCTCTAAGCCAAAATGCTTGGACCAGAATTGTTTTAGGATGTCTCTCCTATCATGGTGAGAAACTGGAAAAAGGCAGCATAATAAAGATTGTGCTGTTGAYCCTCCAGAGATACATGGCTGCCTTGAGAATGGGGACACTCAACAGGTATTCATTTCTCAGATTTGTACTAACAATTTCACATATGATAGCAAGTATTCCTCAATGGCTTCAATAAGCATTACTGCCCTGCACTTTTAGAAACGTGGATAAACAGTTCAGCTGACTGGCTAATATTTCTCTTCCAAAAGCAAAAGATATGGAAACCACTTTCATTTAGGCTCATTATAATAGATACACTAGGAAACTTTTCTCTCCTTCCCCGAAGGGCCTGGCACTCATCAATGGGACGCAGATGATCACCTCCCTGGGCTGTGAAGCTGTAGAGAGAGCCAGTGCCATCGCCAGGCAGGCTGACATTGTGGCGGCCCTGACCCTGGAGGTGCTGAAGGGAACCACCAAAGCCTTTGATACCGGTCAGTGGGTTCTTCCCATCCGTGAGGTTCTTCCCCCAGAGCTGGTGGGGCAAGTTGGTGGCAGGTTTTAGGCATGGGAGTTGTGGGGGTAGAGAAGAAAGGGAAAACCCAGATACCCACGGCACACCCAGTTCTGATACAGCTTCCTCTGAGTTATGCCACACTTGAGCCTTGCAATGACCATGTTTACAGGTGCTGACCTTGGGAGTTAAATGACCTGCCCCAGATCGTGCAGTGCCTGTGTCAAACTGGGTGTTGTTTGAGGAATCTGTTGGCAGGACTTTAAAACTAGAGTAGAATCAGGATTGGTCTTCATTAGAAAATTGGGGGAGAAAAACTAGAGGAGTATCTTATTGAGAAAGCAGAGAATTTTTAAAAGCCCCTATATAATAAGAAGTAAGGCAGAAAAATAATCTTAAATGAGGCCACTATTTGAGCTCCCTGCTATCATTAGCCCAGTTCTTTTGAGTGTCTCCAGTTCAGTTCTTTGTAGAATCCACATATAGTCTGCACCTTAGTATTTTAAAGTACAAAATAGTAAAGGAAATTTTGGTTTTGGAATTGAGTTTCTAATTTTGAGTGGTAGGGAAGGACCTCTGGACTTTTGGATGGTCCTGATAGCAGTCTATTAATTTCTCAGATCTTTTCACCTTCCTCATTTCTAGACATTCATGCTGTCCGCCCTCACCGTGGGCAAATTGAAGTGGCTTTTCGGTTTCGATCTCTGTTGGACTCAGATCACCACCCTTCAGAGATAGCAGGTCTGSGCATGTTTATGTGAGTAAGCTTATTTGGTTGGGTGTTCTCTAGGAAGAATTGGTAACAGGTAACCTGTCTCCTCTCCCTCTTCCACAGAGAGCCACAGGTTCTGTGACCGTGTTCAGGATGCCTACACCTTGCGTTGCTGTCCACAGGTAGGACAAAAAGCAAGACAGTCAACCAAGTGTCTTTTCTTTTCCCAAATTCATCAGAGAAAATAGAAAAAGAGGTATTAGAAAACCATGTCATGGCCAATCATAATCCAATTTTCTTTAGTACCTCTATGAAAAATTATGTGCATCATGCCTGCATTCTTCCAGTTACTAAAAACTCTCTACTCTCTGTGCTAAACCAGTTTCTTTTGAATAGCTTTACCTTAACCTCCTTTCAGAGTCCAGTAGACAACTTGCTTTGTTGATCTAGAGCAACAACTCAATAGAGTTAAAAGAGTTTCACCCTATTAGATAAATCTTAAACCAGCTGGTCAGGGATGTGTATAGGAGACCCTTTTTCCATCTTTCAAAATTCAAGTGCCAAATAGCTAAACTGTGGAACCAACCTAGATGCCCTTCAGTAGATGAATAAATAAAGAAAATGTGGTGTATATACACATGGAATATTATTCAGCATTAAAAGAGAATAAAAGCATGGCGTTTGCAGGTAAATGGATGGAGTTGGAGAAAATAATGCTAAGTGAAGTAAGCCAATCCCCAAAAAAACAAATGCCAAAAGTTTTCTCTGATATAAAGAGGCTGATTCATAATGAGGTTGGTAGGTAGAGCATGGGAATATTAGATAAACTCTAGATAGGGGAGAGGGGTGGGAGGGGAAGGGAGAGGGCATGGGGATAGAAAAGATAGTGGAATGAGATAGATATCATTACCCTAAGTACATCTAAAAAGACACAAATGGTGTGACTATACTTTGTGTACAGAGACACGAAAAATTGTGCTCTATATGTGTAATATGAATTGTAATGCATTCTGCTGTCATATATAACAAATCAGAAAAATAAATAAATAAACAAATAAATAAATAAAATACATGTACCTGTCCATGAGTATACCTTATCTGCCTCTTAGGTAAATTATCATAAATTAATATGTGAATCTTTAAAGTGCAGATGAGCTGCGCTGGCATTAGGCATTCTGTTTTGCTGATTATATCAATTCCTATAAATTGATTGAGAGATTAACAGGCATTTAAAAAAAAATGTCAGTTAGTTTGTGCCAAGTTCAGTCTAAAGTATACTACTGAGTCCTCCTTCGAGTAAACACCCTTATTTTCTTTTCCTCAGCAAGTCTTATTCTGGAATATTTACAGGAAAGAATTGCCAAATGAATTGGCTTAAGGGCATTCTGATAGTCTAAGAATGACAGTTGACTCTATGTGACAGGCACCACAATCAGTGTTTTCCATGCGTTAATCCCTTAATTTTAATTTTTCTACGAGATAGGTACTTTCTCCGATTTTATAGTAGGGAACTGAGAAACAGAGTTAAATATCTTGGCCAAGATAGCTCAACTATCTTGACATCTGGAAGAAGCCAGATGGCAGGCGCTGCTATGCAGCATTATGGCCATCCTTAGCTTGGTGCAGGGTGGCTGCCTTGCTTCTGAGTATCTTTTAATGTGATACCTTCGTGCTTCATAAACTTAACCTCCCTGGATAAAAGGCATCATCTGAATGATCTCTGTGAATCATGTCTGAGAGTTTGTCTGCATTTTCTTATTTATATCTCACACACGGTAAGGTAAGTTTTGTCATCTGTTTTCCATTTCTGCTTCAACTATAGACTTCAGTAACTTACCCATGTGCTGCCACATCCTATCTGAAAACAAAACCCCCTGGAATTGACATCCTATATTTTACATCCTGCAGTTTTGTAATAGATTGTTCTGATGTAAATTCATATTATAATGCATTTATTCTAATTTGGTTCAATGAAAATTCAGAAGATTTAACCATGCTATTTTCCTGTTCTAAATGAATCAAGCATAATTGTCATGATTATAAATTCAAACCACTTTTCTGGGGGAAATACTAAAGATGTTACCTTAGAACATTGTTTTCTACTGGAATTAATGGGTTATATTATTTGATATGATTGTATTTATATTATTTATATGACTGTATTTCAGATCCATGGTGTGGTGAATGACACCATAGCGTTTGTGAAAGACATCATTACCACCGAACTGAACAGTGCAACAGATAATCCTGTATCTTTTTGTATGTCTGCTGATCTGAACTTATAGAATACCAGCTGGTAATTTTAGGATTGGTTTCAGCAGTCATTTTGCAGAGCATTTCAATGCTGGAGAAAATGCACAATTAACACCCTGAATGCAGTTCATTGTCTGGGTTAGCAGATGATCACACAATACCTGTGCAAGGTTTCTCACAAGACGTTTGGTGTGTGTTTTCTGACAAAACTATCTTAGRATGTGTGTTTTAGATTCTCTCACATTGCTTCATAGTTAACTCAAACCCACACTAAATAATCCTCAGGACTGTGGATCTCTCAACTCACCTCAAACAGTCCCCTTCCCCTCTGGCCACCAAGTGGGATCGTAGTGTTCATGAACTCTACTGAATCTCATCTCATGCATCCATTCTTGCATGGTGGGGAAGAGGAAAAAGAAAGGAAGGAAGGAAGGAAGGAAGGAAGGAAGGAAGGAAGGAAGGAAGGAAGGAAGGAAGGAAGAAAGAAAGAAAGAAGGAGGGAGGGAAAGAAAGGAAGGATGGATTACCATTGAATTCCTGGATGAGGGGGAGGGGACAAATTTTTTTATTTTCTCAATGAAAGACTTCATTATGATTTCTATGTAGGCTAATAATTGGGAGTTCTCCTGAAAGAATATATGCCTCAATTTTTTATTGCAGATATAGAGCACCTATTACATAGTGCTGGATACTATGGACATTAAAGTCTAATTGCTATAGTCCAATAGCCAACAGACAAACTCAGAACAACTACAGGACAATAGAACATACTTAAGTCCTCAATGAGCACAGWGATCAATGGCTCCCAGGATTGAAAGAAAGGAGAGCCCAAGGCCTGTGGTRGGGTAGGTTTATGGAGAAGAGCCAGAGCCAGGCCTAATCAGTTTCCAGTTGAGTGCATAGAGTCACTCCAAACTTGACTAATTTAATGTAACACATGCAACACGAATTCTTTGAAGGTCAGACCCTTTCTCACACACGGTAAGTTCCCAGTTAATGAGTTGTCCCTCAGTTTCTGTGGGGGACTCATTCCAGGACCTCCCCCCATCCCCAGGGGATACCAAAACGGGAAGATGCCAAAGTTCCTTTTATATAAAGGCATAGTATTTCAGATAAACTATGCACATCCTTACATGTACTTCAAACCATCTCTAGAGTACCTTTAATACCTAATATAATATAAATATAATACCTAATATAAATAGTATATATAGTATTTAATATAATAATGTACTGTAGTATTTAATATAATATGAATAGTGTACTGTAGTATTTAGGKAATAATGACAAGAAAAAAAGTATGTACACATTCAATACAGACACAATTTCTTTCCAAATATTTCCTTTCCTTTCTTTTCTCCTCCTTTCCCCTCCTTCTCTCCCTCCCCCTCACCCCTCTCTTTCTTTCTTTCTTTCTTTCTTTCTTTCTTTCTTTCTTTCTTTCTTTCTTTCTTTCTTTCTTTCTTTCTTATAATAGGGGAATAGGGGAGGATTGAACCCAGGTTTTGGTGCATGTAAGGCAAGTGCACTGACCTACATCCTCAGTTCTCCAAATATTTCCAATTTGGGTTTGATCAAATCTTTAGATGCAGAATCTGTAGGTACAGGGATCGATTGTATTCTTTAGTAGGTGAAAATGAGCTCTTTGGAACCAGGATGTATCTGCCTGGGTGCCCGCCGGTTTATGAAAGGTTGGAATTATTTCTGAAAGTAATACTATTCCGTGAGCCTAAAGTTGCCTCATACTGATGGATTGGAAGGATCCATTCACTGCCGACTGTTGTTAGACACTGACGGGCAACAGAATTATTGAGTAAAGAGTTTGAAATTTTTCCCAGCATCAATTGTTTCAGATATTTTGATGGTCACTCATCATCCTAGTCTTCCATTCAACAAGTTCCTTCATGGAGCACGAGCTCACAGTAGCCACTGAAGAAATAAAATTTGCTTTCAAACAGGCATCCTGGTCTCTATTCTCAGTTTCAACTTAAACAGTTTTTGAATGCAACTGCTAATCATCAGATTAGTACATTATGGTGCTTGGGAATCTCTGACCTCAGAGAAGTCACAATTTCATACTCCATATTTCTGTGGCCCCAGTGGGTATACACAATTTACCTTTAATTATTTTTTTTCTTTTGTGCTCCTTTATGTCAATGTGCTTTCAGGAAGACTGTCTCTTTCCCTTTACCCCACATCTGTACAAGGACCACTGCTTCAATGCTAAAAGTCAGCAGGTGGGGCAGGAGTTAGGCTTGAAGTTCTATTCCACCTTAACCTGTTTTCAAAGATGGTCTTTGCCAGTCGGGGAGAGACAATTTCTGGAGGAAATTTCCACGGTGAATACCCAGCCAAAGTAAGCTTTTGAAAATCACTCCCAACCCTGAAATACATATTCCAATAGAGGCTGACTAAACTGCAAGATTCTTTCAGGCCCTTGACTATTTGGCCATCGGCGTCCATGAACTTGCTGCGATTAGTGAAAGAAGAATCGAAAGGCTCTGTAACCCCTCCCTCAGTGAGCTGCCTGCTTTCCTGGTGGCTGAAGGTGGTCTGAACTCTGGCTTCATGATAGCCCACTGCACAGCCGCAGCCCTTGGTGAGGACCTTGCCCTCTTGGAACTCAAGTTCCTTACACTAGGTCCCTGRTGCTTAAAGTATAGTCCTGGGTGCTTGTTAGAACAAGGGGACCTCAGGGCTCAACCCAAACTCATTATCTGTATTATAGCAAGATTCCTATGACTTCAATGCGCACAATCAAGTTTCAGAGGACCCACTGAAAGCTTCCCTCACCTCCCAGAGATATCTCTGGCCACCACTAAGCCCTTATTTCAATTCAGAATGTCACTTATGTCATGCTGAGCATTTGGAACTGTTAAATCTTTCTGCCCCAAACCTGTAGGACCAGCCTCAGCCCTCAGATGTCACACCTGAACTCTAATCTTGTTGCTCCTGCTTACACAAGCAGTCAAATTGTTTTCCAGTAACTGAACATGATCATTCATGACTTTTTTCTCCAAGTCTCCAGGGCATACGAAATGCTTCCAGTGTTTTCAATTTGGCCTTGTCATATGAGAGTCTAAGCTCTTCATCCCTGCCTTATCTCAGAACTCACTAGAACTTTAGAGTCCTTCTCACTCTGGGGAAAAATTGACTTGCTTCCTTTTTCCCAGAGTGATTTTGAACCATCTGGCGCTTGGGTCATGGCCAAGATCTCCAGGTGATGGTCTTCCATGCTATGGAGACTTTGAGGAAGTCACATGTCATTTTGGTATTTAATCCTCCCGGGAGCACTTCTTAATTTGCACTGGTCTCTTGCAGTTTCTGAGAACAAGGCTCTGTGCCACCCCTCATCTGTGGACTCGCTCTCTACCAGTGCTGCCACRGAGGATCACGTCTCCATGGGAGGGTGGGCAGCCAGGAAGGCCCTCCGGGTCATTGAACACGTGGAACAAGGTAACACGCTTGTAAAATATTATGTTGGTGGTTCTCAAAGTGAGATCTTACCCACCACCAGCAGCAGCAACAATTGGAAACTCATTAGGAAATGCAGGTTCTAAGGCTCCCTCCCAAACCTGCTGAACCAGAAACTCTAGAGACAGGACAGGAGCAACTTCTGTTCAAAGATTCTTCCAGGTGACTCTGGTGCTTGTGAGAATTATACACCAAGGAACTATGCCAAGATCAACTGGTTCCTTGGATTTTAAAAAACGAAATCTTAAAAATACATTCAGAACGGGAGAGAATAGTACCATGAACCCTTGCACACTTCACCCTGACTCAACAGTTAACACAATTGCTTCATTTTTTTTTTTTACTTTTCCCAAATTATTTTCGAGCAAATCCCCAGTGTCAAATCATTTTATTCCCATATCCTTTCTCTCTTCARTATGAATGCTTTCTTATCTACCAAGACACCATTATCACATCCAACACCATTCAGTGTTAAATCCTGGAGTCACCACCAAATGCAAATTCAAAATTTCCCAGTTACAGTGTCTCAATGTCTTTATGGTTGGTTTGTTCAAGTCAGGATCCAAGGACCATGTTTTAAATTTGGTTGTCATAATTTTAAACAACTTCATTTTTTTTATACTGGAGATTAAAGTCAGGGGAACTCAACCACTGAGCCACATCCCCAGCCCTATTTTGTATTTTATTTAGAGTCAGGGGGTCACTGAGTTGCTTAGTGCCTCACTTTTACTGATGGCTTTGAACTCGTGATCCTCTGTCCAGTCTCCTGAGCCACTGGGATTACAGGCATGTGCCACTGTGCCCAGTTTAAACTTCTTTTAATCTATAAAGTCCTTTGTTTTTTTTTTCCCCCTTTGTGCCTTTAACTAATGGAAAAGTCAGGTTAGTTTTCCTGTAGAAAGACTGACATTCTGATTTGCCTGTTGGCTTCCTTATGGTGTCACTTTTTAAAAAATCTTTTTATTCTAATTTGCTATATATGACAGTAGAATGCATTACAATTCATTTTACATATATAGAGCACAATGTTTCATATCTTTGTTTGTATACAAAGCATATTCACACCATTCATGTCTTCTTCATACATGAACTTAGGGTAGTGATGTCCATCTCATTCCACCATCTTTTTTTACCCCCTTGCTCCTTTCCTCCCCCTCCCTCCCCTTTGCCCTATCTAGAGTTTGTCTAATCTTCCCATGCTCCCGCTCCCAACCCCACTATGAATCAGCCACCTTATATTGGACACAACCACATGAATGTTTATTGCAGCACAATTCACAATAGCAACAMTGTGGAACCAACCTAGATGTCCTTCAGTAGATGAATGGATAAAGACACTGTGGTATATATACACAATGGAATATTACTCAGCAATAAAAGAGAATAAAATCGTGGCATTTGCAGGTAAATGGATGGAGTTGGTGTCACTTTTAACTTGTCATTTGTCCCACACATTTCCTATACATTGCAGTTGAATGTAAAGACTTACTAAGATTTAGGTCCAACTTGTGTGACAAAGCAACATCACGGAGACAGCTATGATAAGTAACCCTCTCTCTGCTTTCTTAATCATTGTTTGTTTTATTTTTTAAAGAAAGAGAAACTGCCTTCCTCTAGACATTATCCTCTTAAATTCCTAAGTTTATGCAATAGTATTTCATAAATACTATTGGCTGACCAAAGATSGGAACTATTTTAAGATAAATGTAAAAATTGAATATTGTTTTTTAGGGAGGGGATAATAGATGTTTTGAGATATATTCACATTTCTTACAATTTACCAATTTCAAGTGTACAGTTAGGGATTTTAGTGTATTCACAGAGTTGTGCAACCATCCCCATAATCAATTTTAGAACTTGCTCATCAGCCCAAGAAGAAACCTCGGCCCCTCTAGCTATCACATACCCATTCTCCCTACTCCTTCTACTCCTAGGCAACCACTGATCTGCTTTCTGTCTCTATAGATTTATTTATTCTTGACAATTCATACTATCAGAATCATACAATATGTATCTTTTTTGACTGGCTTCTCCTACTTAGCCTAATATTTTCAAGATTCATTAGTTGTAGCCTGTATTTATTAGTTATAGCATGTGTCAACACTTCATCCATGTTTATGGTCAAATAATGTTCTATTATATGGATAGGTCACATTTTGTTTATTGTTTCATCAGTTGAGGACACTTGGTTTGTCTCTACCTTTTGGTTCATATAAATAATGCAACTGTGAATCTGTACAAGTTTTTGTGTGGGCAAGTCTCCATTTCTCTAGAGTGGAGCCCTGGGTCAGATGCTAACTCTGCATTTGTCTTTTTGAGGAACAGCCAGAGTATGTTCCAACATGGCAGCACTGTGTTACATTCCCACCAGCAGTGTTTGAGGGTCCGATTCCTCCACATCTTCACCAGGACTTGTTATTGTCTACCACAGTGCATTCTGAATGTTCACTCTTCAGATGTTTCCCCCATTGCACAAGTTGCTTGGACCAAAAGACCTAAATAGTTGTTTTTATCTATCTTCTTGTCTTCTCTCCATTTCGTCAGCAAATCAACCCTACCTTCCAAAGATAACAAAGCAAGACTGGCACTTCCTATTTAGTCTCCTTGTTTTCACTACAATTCCTTGGCAGTCGACACACACAACAAAGCAGGGTGAACTTTGACAAACATAATTGAGAACATACCATGCCCCTGCTGAAAATCTGCCAGTTACTTCCTAGGGCTCAAAACAAAATCCAACCCTGATTGCAGTCCACAAAGTGGTTTGGGTTCTGTCTCTCATTGCCTCTTCTCTTCATTGCATTCTCTACTCTGGAGCTACAGTTTTGCCTTGTACCTGCCAATGAGCACATCCTTCCCTCTGTACCTTCCTGGATCTTCTGGACTTTGCGTGGTTCCCTTCTTCATTTAATCTAGGTGGTTGACCAGCTTTTATCTCTGATGCCTTCCCCATCAGCAATTGCCATTCTTTCTCCATTGTTCTAATGGAGCTTGAGTAACTCATCTATACTTAGGTCTATTTGTCTTTCCCAGTGAGATTCAAGCTCTATGATGGCAGGGATCTTTGTTTGGGTCACATCCCTGAATGAGCCTGGAACTCGTAATAAAGGGCCTGCTATAGACTTGACACATAAATGGTAGATCTAGCTCATCCAGTGTTCTGTCCATTTATGTCAGGGAAGTGCAATTGGGGGGAAATGGCAGTTCGTATTTCAAGCATATTCATTACTTAAGTTTGTTTTGATTATAGATATTTAACAAATACCTATAAATCTTGGAATCCACTGGTGCTATATATAAAGTATAAGATAAAAACTTATCTATTTATCACCTACTGATTATTTATTGAACAGGTAACTAGTGGGAGCATGGAAAGAAAATAYGCCCACCTGGTTGGGGTGGACATGCATCTACCACTTTAGCACAGTGGGTTAAACAGCGAATGAGATATACTTGGCTTCCGCCCTCCTGGAAATTAAAGTCTAGACAGAAAAGCAAATATTGGACAACTTGGCAACTCTTTGTAGCATCTAAGAAGATTCTAACTAAAGAATTGAAATGTAGGGGAATATAAATGAACATCTTGTTGAAATATAGACTGACTTAATAGGTTTGGGATCCAGATCAGGGTTGGATATTCTTTCTGACTTCCTGTCCTACCCACGTGACACAAACCCGGCCAACAAACCTTGGTTGGAAGATATGAATGGGGGAAAAGGCAGTTTTCATTGGTGTAGCTTACAAAAGCTTCCTTACCAATCTAGGTAAGGAAGTCTCATAATCTATCTAGGTAAATATCTCRATTGTCCCTTTCTCACCATTAAAGATACTTCCAAGAGGTTAGAAAAGCAGGTTTAAAATGATAACTGATACCAATGCAACTTCATTCCCCCAATAGACAAAGAAGCACTACCTGTTTGTTAGCTATTGATGACTGTTGACTTTGGATGATTTCTCTTCTTCAAGCATGACGTCAAAAGGCTTTAATCAGCCACTGTCTTGGCATTTTTGTTTTAGTGCTGGCCATTGAGCTCCTTGCAGCCTGCCAGGGCATAGAGTTCCTACGACCCCTGAGAACAACCACTCCACTGGAGAAGGTCTATGACCTGGTGCGCTCTGTTGTAAGGTAAAGTCAACAGGTCCCTGGAAGTTACACCATTTCAGAACTGTGAACCTTGGCAATACCAAATGTTTGGCTGATGGACTGATATGCTTTTCTCTGTAGGCCCTGGATAAAAGATCGCTTCATGGCTCCAGACATCGAGGCGGCACACAGGCTGCTCCTGGAACAGAAGGCAAGTTGGCTGCTTGGATTATTTCTTAGTTTGGGGTTGTTATGAGAAAGCAAAGTGAGAGTGGAGAGAGAGAGAAACATTGTCTGATTCTACTGTGTCCTGGATTCCTTGGAAGTGAACACAAAGGTAGGGAGGCAGCTTGAAAAGCCACGCAGAAGCCATTTGATAACCAGTGTCTCATGCTGCACCCAAACATTGATGACCTAAGGCTTGGAAACTGAAATGAATTTTTAAGAGTTTTGAGACCAATATTCGTGGCGAGAAAAAAAATTAGATGAGAGGTTCATAGGCCATCCCCCTCCCCACGATGTTCTCTTTCATTCAAAAGTACTTTCTCTTTCTGGTGATGTTGTCAAAACTACCCCCACCAGGTGCAAGGGCTTTACAGACCTGGGGGAAATTAAGTTCCAGGTTTTTATTTCAAAGGGGCTTTGAGTTCATCTAGTATTTTAGTATGTCCTTGCCCCATCTTGCTGGGAGGGTTATAGGTTTTCTTTGCCACTTATTTTCCTCTGGTTACAYTGACCATAGGATTAGAAGATTGATATAGCTGCCTAGCATGCCGATTCATCATAAATATCATACATATATGAAACTTTTTGAATAATTTGTGAGTATCCTGTGTTCCCTAAAAATCACTTGATTCCTCCCCAAATAGTTGCTCTGCTTCAGGAAAACAAATTTTCTCTTTGATCGTTCTACCTGTCATTTCTAAGTGCACCTGGCACCCTGCTAGGGGAAGCCACTCGCCCAATACCCACTTTGGTACTAGGTGAAAGGTGTATGTATGAGGAACTAGCTTCTGAAAGGAGACAGTTTCTAAGGTCAGAGAGTTCTTGGCTGTCAGTGATAATTAGAGAAAAAGCAGCTGCAAACCAAAAAAAATGGGTTTCATAACTTGAAAAGATGTTATGCTTAAAAGAGAATAAGTTGATAGATGGAGGGGGAAACTAAGCCAGGATCTGAGGCAGCGCTTCTCAACCTTGAATATGTACATGAATCTCCTGGCTATCTTGTGAAAATGTATGATTCAGTAGTTTTAGAGTTGAGCAATAAGACTATGACCTGTCTCAGGTAACACTGATGGGGACTGGCACAGGCCATACTGGAGTAGCAAGAGTCAAAGGCACAAGGCACTGTGGCATGGAGGTAGAGCCATGGGAAAATCCAAAGAACTGCCTTTTATCATTTAAGGCTTCTTTAAAAAGCACAAGGTCATGGTATACCCTTGAGAAGCCATCCTTGACTATGCCCGCATTGAATTTTCTAGGTTCTATTTGTTGTCTGCTTTGCTTGCTTGTTTTGCTTTGAAAGAGAAAGCATCTCAACACCTTCAAAACCTTAGAAATGTTTTGGACTTTGTATTTTTAAAGACTTTTTATACAGTCAGCAGCTAATTGACATAGATCATGTTTCAAATGGCTCCAAAGAAAAGCAGAGGGACAGCCACTCAGCCTAGGTCTAGCCAGGCATACAGGATATTTTGACTTGGGGAGAAGTTGATGTCTAATAGCATGTGGAAACAGTGTTGCTGATCTTTCAACTTCCTCTGTCTTTGCTGCTCAGGTTTGGGACGTAGCTGTACCCTACATCGAGAAATACAGAATGGAGCATATTCCAGAATCAAGACCTATTTCTCCAACAGCCTTTTCACTGGAATCTCTACACAAGACCACCAAAATCCCAGAGTCYGAGGATCTTTAATGGCTGGGTCAGATCAGCTTAGCAGATCAGATGGCCCTTAGCTGAACACAAAACAAGTACGGCAATGAGGGAAAACCTGAGAACTTTCCTAGGTGGATCAGTCTATTATACACTGCAGATATCCTGGATCCTGCTCTGGCTAAGCCAATGGCATTATTACAGATGCTGAGTCCAGCTCTGTGTTCCCATTGCCACAGCTTGAGATGCGCCAGGWGTCCTCAGGTGGAAGGACTTTTCTTTCTTTCTTAACAATATCATTAGGCTGCTTATTCTTAAGAATAGCCACAGTTGCAATGGGTCTGTTTTTAACTCTTAGTGTTAGATGAACTCAATTGAAAACAAATTGACAGCATTTTGTTTCCCCCCCCCAAAAAAAAAAAAAAACTTTGTTAGCGAATCTTATTATTTTTTTAATTCACTTCCACAAGCTAGTTGACTTTCTTTAGCTGATCGTATTATGCTATAGGACTAATGTTTCTTATTATGCCCTTCTAAACAACCATTTTAAGTCATAATTTGTTCTTAAGGTGCTATTCCTTTTATTAGTTGAATTGAAGAATAGTCCATAGGTTTTTTTTTTAGCAGTTAAGTACAGAGGTGGTAAAAACCACCCACAAGGAGTTTTATATGGAAATGAATATAAAGTTAAGAAATGAATATAAAGATTGCTATTTGGGTGGCCCTTATTGTACTGCGTCTTTCATGTTTATCAAATATCATTACATATATCTTTTAATTGTTTACTCATTTGCTCGAGCTGGAGTTTGAAATTAGTATCTATTCACAGTAGACAGTTGACCCTGCTAAAATGACTCCTCATTTCACAGATAAGAGATCTGTGGAGGTTGACCAACCCCCTCCCTCTAATGGTAATCATTAAAGTTAAGCCCTGTTGACCGAGGTCAGGTGGGGCCCTAGGATGTATGACTTAATGTGTTTTCCCCTCAAGAAAATAAAGGACCTTCTGGGGAGGCTTAAGTGTCATTGTCCAGGGAAAGACTGGGTCAGATGATTACTTGGCATCCCAAGGCTAAGATCTGTGACTTTGCACCCATCTGTACAAATGTGTGCAAAGCACTCCAAGTGCTGGCTCTGAGGACTGTAGCTGGGAAAGAAAAGGACAGACACACTTGCCCGTTTTCCCAGCTTGAGGACAGCCTATGGTGCTCCCAGAGGTGTGGTTCACAGTGGGCTCCTCAGTCTTGATTGTACCTGTCCAGAGGAAAGGTGGAGATCCTAGTGAAAACTGCTGAAGCAAAACGTGTGCTGAGGTACTTGTCTACCTAGCAGTTGTTCTTGGTGCTGTTCTTTGCTAAAAATGGAAGTTTACACTTTACACAAATGAAGTTTACTCATTCTTATACACAAGCTGCAGTTGAGCCAGTAAACCACAGCAAATGGCTGCCCTTCACTCCAGTTTGGGGAATGCTGGACTCTGTCCACCCCTGAGGTCCTTTGGGGCACAAGGGCATTTGATGCAACTCTGTTAGTAGCTGACGTCACCTATCTTCAAGAGACTTTCAAGGTAAATATGGAATAAACGGTTTCAATGGTCTTGTTGTGGCTTTATTCATACGTCTGTTTTTTT